TAACACAGCCCAAATCAAGTATTGCGGGGGAATATTCTAATAACACTTCAGCCCCATATCAAGTAGTGCGATGAAATATTCCAATAACACCGCAAAATAATCGAATAACACCATATAATACTCGAATAACACATCATTTTTACAATAACTCAAATGAAATATTCCCGTAACACAATCGAATATTCAAATCCGAACGTAGCACTATGTTAGGAGTCCTGATGTAATATTTTTCCTCTCATCACACATGTAAATAGATAAAATCGGATGGCATGTTTGTAAATTGCCTCAAGAGTTCCACATGCATTTCTCCCAAACTCTTAGTCCCACATGGCTTAAACGAGGGAGAATTCCCATTAGGAATCCTATTAACATGTAAAAAAGAAAATAAAAATCACAATTTTCATTTGTATTCCATTAGAATGTTGCAATATACAAATTTGATGGTAGCTCAAAGTCGAGCCTAAATATGAGCTAATTCAAATTTGAATTGAGGTCTGCATAAACTTGACTATATGCATGAAAAGTTATCTCTCACTTTAACAATAATGATAATGATATATTTGGTGTGATGTTTTAAAAATTTTGGCGACATGAATAAAAAATAAAGAATAAAATTGAAGTATTTGATATGTAAATATATAGAAATTATACGATAGGTATGTAAATGCCCCTATTGTTTTTCTCTATAAATTCAAGCCATCAAACCTTTCCCTTTTAGCACACAAGAGCGCGCGCACACACTTCAATCCTTCCAAGTTTTTGTATCGGTGGAGATAAAGATGGCTTCAGATAAAGGGAGAAAGGTGATTCTGAATAGCTCGAACGGTAGAAAAAGCTGTGACGATTGAGTATCAGAGTTGAAGATGGATGTGTGGGTGACGCGATCGACAATGTTGATCACGTTGCCGAAGTGGATATGGATTCTTTCTATGGTTTTTGAGAATTGCAAGAAGCACATTGAATGAGCAGCTGACAATGTTGAGAACATTGCCGAAGTGGATATGGAGGGTAGGGATCCCAATTTTGTGAAGAAAAGGCAAGAGATACTAAGATCGAGCAGCGCAACCAAATCAACCTTCACTAAAATCCAAATCCTAGCCCTCCAAATCTACTTTGGCAGTGTTCTCATCACAGCCAACAACCCATTCAATGCGTTTCTTGAATCTTACTCTTAACGCAAGGGAGTTCAATCACATCAGCTGCACGTCCATCCTCAATCATGCAACGGATCATCCGAGACTCCATCGCCACGGCTTCTTCTACCAAGAACTCCTCACCGTCCGAGCTCTTCAAAGTCACCTTTCTTCCTTCATCTGAAGTCATCTCAACCTCCACCGATACAAAAGCTTAGAAGGATTGTAAGCGTGCGCGCGCGCTTATGTGATGAAAAATCAAAATTATTATTTTTTATGATGTGTTTTCTGGCTTTTTGGATGTTAATATTCTTATTGATTGTGCTATTAGTGCTTGTTAGGTTTTCCTACTTGCCGAAGATGGCATTATGGTGCATTTCATTCACAGGCTGCACAAAATTTAATTTATATTTTATGGTCTCTCATTTTTTTATTTTTTCGCATTTCATTCACAGGCTGCACAAAATTTAATTTATTTAATATGGTCTCTCATTTTTTTATTTTTTCTTTTTGTAATTTTCCTATATCAATGTGTATCATCAAGGTAAGCTGGGTATTCTATGTATGTCTTTATCATTCTGGACCCAGCTAATCTGTTGCTTAGCAAAAGACTATAATGGCATCGAAATTATGCTGAGACTGAGTGCAATGTGTTTAGAATATTACATGCATGTGCTATTAAGTAAACTCTATTGGCATACTTAAATTCTAAGTTCAATGATTTTAATTTTATGAGTACATTTTAATCTTTTTATTTTGAGGCTTGCGTTTTGATCCGCCTCGGCTCTTAATGGAGAAATATATCACTTCTAGATTTGCCTTTTAAAACATCGTTTTAAATGTTCTGATTGAGTTAAGATTGTTGAAAATTAAACTTGCTTTAAACTCATTTTTAATTTAGCCCATAATCCAGAAAAGTATTTGGAAAATTTTAAAAACTCATTTTATGAAGAAAATTTTAGAGGATTCTAGACATATATTAAAGGAGTGATTTAAAGAATTATAGAATATGTAATTAATGATTTTTGTAAATGAAAAAGGGATAATATTCAAGAGAGTCAATAAGAGTCATTGGATTGAAATAAGTTGGGAATATCCTGATGAAGTGTTACTAGTATAAATATGGGAGGTGCATTTCAGTTTTGTATCAAGTAGAATCAAGAATTAGAAGAGTGAAATAAAATTGAGTTTTACAAGTTTTCCTCATCTTTTTTTAGCATTTCTTCTAATATAATAACCTCTTAGCTTCCAAAAAATTGGTATCAGAGCCAAAGTTTCTTTTTAGAGAGATGGCAAGGAACGATATGATTCACTTCCAAGTCAAAGCTCAATAATAGCAAATATGACAATTGGAGCATCAAGATGAAGGCCCTTCTTGGAGCGAAAGATGTATGAGAGATAGGGAAAGGCTACAATGAGCCACAAGATGAGTCAAGTATATCCCAAACTCAAAATGACAGTCTAAAAGATTTGAGGAAGAGAGGCAAGAAGGCTCCCTATCTATTGTTTCAAGGATTTTATGATTTGAGTAGATTTTCGATGTGAAGTCTGTCAAAGAGGCATAAGAGAAGCTTCATACCTCTTATAGAGGAGCAGAGCAAGTCAAGAAGATGGTACTTTATTGAGTCTTAACAATTTCTAATCAATTGAAAAGAAATGGAGAAAAGCTAGAAGATGTAAGGACTAGAGAGAAAATCATTCGATCTTTAGATTTAAAATTTGATCATATTATCGCCATTATTGAAGAAATCAAAGACTCACAGGCTATGACAATCGAGCAACTCCTGTATTCTTTACAAGCCTATGAAGAAAAGTAAAAAAAGAAGCAAGGGATCACAAAACAATTCATGAAGACGCAAATTAGTTCAACTAAAGAAGAGAGCCTTGAGAATGATAGAAGTAAACAAGGAAGAGGTCGTTGCTGAGAACAAGGCAGTGGTCGTGGACGTGGAGGAGGTAGGAGCTCCAATAATGACGACAATAACAATGCAAATGTTGAACGAGGGGGCAGTTCAACAAGGAGGCTTGTAAGAGGAAAATCAAGACCAAGGTCTGATAAATCTCGAGCTATGTGTTACAACTATAAAAAATTTGGGCACGATGGTGTAGAATTTAGAACTCCCAATAACAATAAAGTTGAAGAAGAGGCTAACTGACTGAAAGATAGAAGTTAATAAGATGACACTTTGCTACTGCATACAAGGAGAATGAAAAAGATGAAGATAACCCATGGTATTTTGACAGTGGTGCAAGCAATCATATATGTGGAAGAGAAAACATGTTTGTGGAGCTTGACGAGTCGGTGAGCGACAATGTATCATTTGAAGATGAATCTCAGGTAGTGCAGGCCTCATTTTTGGTGAGGTATGTTTCTCTTCCATCTCTACAGCCTAGGATCTAGCTATAAAACTTCTATACAGACTCTTCTAGAGGACTAGTATTTGTATCCTCACACTTAGAAATTCAAACCACCTCTTGATTCTTGATAGTCTCATATGTGGGGTTTCAAATTCTCAACATTTAGTTGAGTCGAGCGGAACCAACATATTGAAACTCAAGTCGAGTTCCCATAAGAATCAGAAAAGGCCCTAAGGAGTTCATTTGTACTTAAGGGTTTAATGCTTTGAAATATCACAAGCATACATGCACCAAACACATACACATACACACATTATAATTCACATTACGCAAGCATTATAATTCGCTTAATTCACAATTGAAATTATCAAATTATCATTACCCCTAATCATCGTAATTAAAATTTAAATTCCTTATATAAAAAGATATAATAAAATAAAAAAAACAGTAGAATAATAATGACAATAATAGATATATACATATATGTACATATGTACATATATGAACAAAAAAATTATTGTCATAATAATAATAATAATAATAATAATAATAATAATAATAATAATAATAATAATAATAATAATAATAATAATAATAATAATAATAATAATAATAATAATAATAATAATAATAATAATAATAATAATAATAATAATAATAATAATAATAATAATAATAATAATAATAATAATAATAATAAATAAAAAATAATCTACCCCCCATTAGGGGTGTAAACGAGTCGAATACTGACAAATCCGGACTCAGCTCGTTAAAAAATGTCACTGTTCATGTTCGACTCGTTTATATTTCAAACAAAAAAAGCGTGTTTCGGCTCGTTTGCTTAGTAAACTAAAACATGAGCTGTTCGTGAACAAATTATTGTTTTGACAATCCTAATTACACAGCCGTAGGATGATAAGAGTTGAATTAAGATTTAAATCTTATTGTCTATATTAAAATACCATTTAAATAGAATTTAATATAAATTTTTTTTCTATTTTTTTAATTTATAATGTTAATTAATTATAAATCTGATAGTAAATTAAATATTTTAAAACTACTGCTCATCAAACAACGAGCCGTTTTTGACGGCGCTGCCCATGTCACCTCCCTAACTCCTCTCCTTCCTCTCCTTTAAATACATCCCCTTTCCTCTTTTTCTCCCCAAGCCGAACCTTGTTCCAGCACACACCTAATAATCCTAATACTATAATATATATATATATATGCTCTCTCCACCTCCTACTCGTTCGGAAGCCGCCATAAAGAGCCTGCAGCGGCAACCTGCTGCCCTTCATCTCTCCACATGGCGCGATTTCAGCTTCAGATTTCATGAGTTAATCTAGTTGTCTCTAGGAATTATTTATGTATTCGTATGTTTTTCATATTTTAGGCGGTTAGATAATATTTATTTGAGTAAAATGTGCTGCGGTTATGTGGTTAGTTTTTATGTAAGTGCTTATGTGGGGAGTTTTTATCCAAGTAGTTAGTTTTTTGCTGGAGTTGAGGTTTGAGAAAACCAATAAGATTTACCCCCGTTTTCCACCCTTACCGGCATTCTCTCTGTGTCACCAGCGAAGGCAGCGCGCCAGCGTGATCGTGGGGGCGGAGGAGGAAGTCAAAGGTTCCTTTCCTCTTCAGCGAGGGAAAACTGCGGGCGGCAGTGGAGAGTACAAGGTTCTTATTCATCATCCATATTCGTTCTGGCAATTACCGTTTTAATATTGTATTCTTTTAGTGAATTGATGATGATGAATTGAGCTTCAGAGCGATTGAGCATGTATAATTACAAGAGGGGGATGTGTAAGATTAATGCAGAAGCTGTGCTATTGGTTGACTGTTACAAGTTTATATGAATGATTTCTTCTTCTTTTTACATCTCCAATTTATAAGGAGAAAGCAGGGATCTATTAGCTGAAAAAAATGAACAATTTCAGAGAATATATATATATATAATAATAATAAATAGTAGTAATAATATATGTATAACCATAAATAAATGTAATAAATCAAAGATAATAACTGGTAGCACTAACGAGTCCTTTGCATTAATCTATGGTGAGCAATCTCTCACTCTTTTCTATGTGATTTCATATGAATCATTGAATTGACTTATAAGTCGGAAGTGTTAGTGATACGGTCGATGATGTAAAACATCCATTGCCGTGGTTTACTCCAGTGGCCGAGGGAGATGGACCCAATGGGTAGTGGGAATACTGAATAGCAAATGAAGCAGTATTTGATTTCAGTCCCTATTAAAAGAAAATTTATTACGTTCGCCGTCCGCACGTCCAGCTAAATTTATTAGTAAGCTGACAAATCACTATCATTCACTTCATTTGTGATCATTAATGCAGATGCTCCTCTTGAATTTTCGCTCTGTTAGCTACCCCTCCATAAGTAGTTATTATAGCTAGATTAATTCATCATACTTGCAATCCATACAGTATCAATGGAGGTAAAGATGGCTTCGTATGAAAGGAGAAAGGTGACTTTGAAGAGCTCGGACGGCGAAGAATTCTTGGTAGAAGAAGCCGTGGCGATGGAGTCTCGGATGATCTGTTACATGATTTGGGATGGACTAGCAGGTGACGTGATTGAACTCCCTGGCGTGAAGGGTAAGTTTCTATCTATGATTATTGATTTTTGCAAGAAACGCGTTGCATGGGCTGCTGGCGGCGATGGGACTTTGGAAGGCTTGAAATCTGATTTTGTGAAGGTTGATTTGGGCACACTGATCCATCTTAGTGCAGTATGTCTTCCCTTCTTGTGTCTATAAATGATAATAGTGCTGTTTTTAATGTGGCATTTTAACTTGAGTTCTATGTGTGTAAATATGAATGTTTAGGTTTGAGATATGTAAATGTTTAAGGATTGTATGCTACGTATGTAAATGCCCCTATTTTTTTCATCAGACATATTTTTGTAAAGTAATTGGAAGCATTAATAAATCATGATATGTAATGACATCTAGGCATGACAACATATTACTTGCATGAATAGCAAATCATCGAGTAACCATTTTGTAATTCTACATTTTTGTGTTGTTAATTAGATATATATGTTATATTATGCATTACATTTCATTACACACACACACACACATATATATATATTTATTGTCTGTTTGGATTTATGCTTCAGCTGCCAAGTAAAATTGGAATTTAGACTTCAGCTCATTCATGTAGCTACACATGAAATCTTCTTAATTTGTATTTATGTTTGGTTCCATAATTGTCTTCATCTCTAATTACTTTTCATGATTTTCGTAATGTAACAGGCAAGCTTTTGTCTGAAAACAAATGATTTGGTTGATTTGACCTCTCAAACTTTAGCAAATCGGATTCAGGGGAAGACTATTGAAGAGATTTGCAGGGCCTTGAACCCTGAAGAATAAAAGGAGATTCAGATGGAGAATTCGTGGACATTTGAGTGAAATGATGGTGGTGCTCTCTCTCTCTCTCTCTCCCCCACACCTTGTCCCTATATTTACTATGAGTCTCTTGAGTTTTCTATTTTATTTGATCATGTTGAGTCTAGTGTGTTCTATATACTTATTTGAAAGTGATGATTGTCTTTTATTTCATGTTGCAAGTTTAGGGTAAGAAAGTTGAAATAACATAAGATATGTATCTCCCGAAACACTTTTGGTGCAACTTAAAGCTACCATTTATATGATTTTGACACTTGTGTATTAATATCGTTGGGTCCTTTTTAACAACTTGTGTTTAGCTATGTAATTTTGCTATTTGTGTTTACATATTACATCTATTTTCTAAAATGATCGGCTGACACAACTTTGTAAAATGTCACTCTTTTCTTTGTTGTGGTTTCAAGTTGTAAATTGTGTGCTTTGAACTTTGGCTACTCTGGTTAAAATTGAGCTTTAGTTTATGTTCGATTTATGCTCTTTTAGTTGTTTTCAAGTTAGATTCACTTAAAAGTTACTGTTGTTATAGTTGCTGCCTACTTATTGACAAGCAACATTATTAAGCAACATATTAATTATTTTAATAAGTTTTTACTTTAAACATAAATTTGCATTTTTATGAAAACATAAACGAGTTTCTTATGTTTATGTACATTTCTCAAGTGGCAGTGCCCTCTTTTCACCCCACATCCAAGTCTTCATCTGTGTGCACTTCTGGTCGTGCTAAAATAAAATTTTGCGGTTTTCACATACATACGGCCCAATTCCTATGTATTTACATATGTGACATCAAAATTTTATTATTTTACCTTTATGTTATCCAAATCTTTCTTATCACATAAAACATGTCACTTTTTTTTAAAATTTTTGGAAGTGTTGTAAATAAATTTTCATGCATAGATAAAAGGATGTATTTATAAAATTGAATTTCAAGTGTTTAAGAATTAACTGGTATGTTCATAAATTTTTCTTATTCTTTTAATTGGTTTGCTTTAATTATGCACTTATATTTGTTCATTTCATGATATTTACTCAGTTTGTACTTATCCAAATCATTGCAAGTGTTGAGATACACAAATTAAAAAAAAACGCTAAAATCAAACATATAAATAGAAATAGCGCTGTCAAAACGACTTATTGTTCACAGACAGTTCAATTCTTTAAGTAGCTCGTGTTCGATTCATTCGCTAAGCAAACGAGCCGAATACGAACAATTTTTTTACACTCGATATATAAACAAGCCGAACACGAACTAAGTTTTGTTCGTTCGTGTTCTGCTCGTTTTTGCTTGATGGGCATTCTTGGAGTGATTTTGGTGCGATTCTTGGCTTTTGTCGAGGGATTGTTCTGAACCGTCTGTAAGACCTTCTCGGCTTTGATTTGGCTTGGAGTTGTTGCGTGTTCTTCGAATTTTCTCGTTCCGAGTTCATTAATGGCTTCAACAAGTCGTACGAATGTACCTTCTTACATAGATGTTGTATATGGTAATGTTTATGAATTACCTAATGTTCTATTTCCTAATTCTTTCAAAGATCGGATGGAAGAAGATGCTCCTGATAATCTCTTTAAGAAACCAACAAAAAAGAACGGTAAACCCGCCATTCATTTTCAAGTAAGAGAAACTAACATTTTTACAAAATCCTTAAATTTTACCCTGATTGGTAAATTTGCTTTAGGACATCCGTGATTCAAAATTATTAAAAAGTTTTTTTCCGACCTAAAACATGTAGGTAAATGGAGTTTAGGTCTAATTGATGGTCGTAACCTCATGATTAAATTACAAGAAGAGGAGGATTACACTTCCTTATTTGCAAGGAAATTTCTTACAATAGATAAATGTTATATGAAGTTTCTAAAATGGACGCCAAATTTTAATCCTTCTGAGGAATCACCCATTGTTTCGATTTGGATTCATTTACTAGGACTTAAGCTTCATTTATTTCTTTACTAGGACTTAAGATTCATTTATTTCATCCACTAGTGTTATACTCAATTGGTTCTATATTTAGTTATCCTTTAAAGATGGATAGTGGATAGTGCAACACTGCGTTGTTCTTGACCATCGATGGCTAGGATATTGGTTGAGAGAGATTTTACGGCTCAATTCCATGATTCTATATGGATTGGGGATGAGAATACGGGGTATTGGCAAATTGCGGAAATGGAATTTGTGCCACCATACTGTTCCAAATGTAAGATGTTTGGTCATGTGATTTCTTCATGTTATAAAGCTCATCCTGATTTAAGACTGCCTAAACATGTACTAGACTGAAGGCTAAAGATGTTCTTGAAGAAACTCAAATATGTAATGGGGATAATGATCTTAGTATACACAGGTTGTCTGATGAGATGATTACTTCATTTCCTGATAAAGAAAATGTTCCAGAGACGATCAATAATCAAGATCTTCAAAATTTAAATGAAACGGTTCTCAAGGTTCCCGACTTGAATAAGGAGGATGATACTATGATCAATAATTCTGATACATTACTTCCAATTTCTGATCCGATTAATGATGAAATAATTACTATTACAAATCTCATTACTAATGATAAAGATTTGGTGTTGGATGACAATTTGTTTTTTACTCGAAAAGAACTTGAAGAAGATTGGTTAATACAAAGATCTTCAAGAAAAAGGAAATTTAAGGCTTAAGAGAGCTTGGTTATATTAATCCATAAGCTCTCAATTCTCTGAGAACAGGTAAAGAAGATGAGGTAAATCCTTCTTGCTCTAGGCAAAGTAGAGGAAAATCAATTGTTGATGATGTTTAACACCTTAATATGGAGTATTAGAGGCATAGATAAACCGGTGCCTCTGCGAGGTTAAGGAGATTGATTCGTACTTATAATTTGCCTTTCTTTGTTATCTTGGAACCTATGGTGGCAGTTAAGAATAATGAGAAGTTTATGTAAAGGTTTGGTTCTTTTCACAATTTAGCCAATCTTAATAATAAGATTTGGTTGTTTTGGAAGAACTTCATAAAAATTGATATTCTTATCAATCATGATCAGTTTTTACACTTCCGTATTTATCATAATAACGATTCCTTCATTTTTTCAATTATATATGTTGATTGTTCTAAACAAGCTCGTTTAGATCTTAGGAATCCTATAACTAACATTAATACCAACTCATAGCCTTGGCTTTTGGGTGGAGATTTTAATTTGATTTCTTCTGTTTTGGAAAAGAAAGGAGGTGTTGCTCCTAATCCCAATCTCATCTCTTTTTTCAACAATTCTATTCTGGATGCGGGTCTTTTTGATTTGGAATCTAAAGGAATTCCTTTCACTTGACACAGAAGTAATACTTTTGAGAGATTGGATAGGAGCCTTTATAATGCTGCTAGGGCTAACAAGATTTGTTATGAAGTAACTAATTTAACTATCACTACTTCTGACCATGCTCCCATCCTATTGAAAACGAGAAATTCTTTTTCTAAAATTCCTTTTCAATTCTGTTTTTTATAATACTTGTCTACTTCATGACAATTTCAAGACATTCCTTAAAGATAACTGGCTAAATTTGACTGTGGGAAATGCGGGTAGCTGTGGAAGGTACAAAAGAATTTGGCCAACATACTCAAATGCTGAAATTAGGAGGTGTTTGGGAATATTATTATGAATATTGAGAAGCTAGATAAAAGAGTCAATACTTTGGAGTTGGACTATGCCAACCAACACATATAATGGGATGTTCTCTTTCAATGCCATCAGGAGTTGAATAAAGCTATCATGATGGAGGAATTTTTCTTGCTCAGAAAGCCAATAAAATTCACTATTTGGAGGGCGATAGAAATTCAACATATTTTAATGCCTGTATTAAAAACAGAAAAAGAAGTAATCTAATAACTTCTATTTGCCGCAATGATGGTACTATCATCACTAGCCAGCAAGCTAATATTAATGATGACATTATGTATTTTTCTAACATCTTAACTCTTGATGAGAGTTCATTACAAGCTTTGGATACTTCATTGTATGACACTATTTCTGGCTTTTTTGGTATGAATCTTCTTAGTATACCTAGTGCTTTGGAAATCAAAAGCACACTTGATTCTATGGAGGATGGGAAAGCAGCTGGGCCTGATGGGTTCATTGTTGAATTTTATAAGAATGGCTGGGAGATTATTCACCCAGAGTTGGTTTTGACAATTCAGGAGTTTTTCAGAGGCGTTGATTTACCTCGGTATTTTAAGTCTTCTAATGTGATTCTTATTCCTAAATCCAATTATGCTTCTTCTTGGGAAATGTTTAGACCTATCAATATTAATGTTGTGGTTACTAAGATCATTTCTAAAATAATGGTTAACATACTGCATCCTATCCTTCAGAAGAATATTTCAAATAATCAAACTGTTTTTGTGTTGGGGAGGAATATTAGTGATAATGCACCGACTGTCCAAGAACTTCTTTGTGGACTTTGATAATAAGAGCAGAAAAGTTTTTGATTTAATACAATGGTAATTTATCATGGATGTTCTAAAAACTATTGGCTTTCTGGAGAACTTATGTTCTCTTATTCATAGAACTCTGCATAGCAATTTCTATTCGTTACTTATTAATGGTCAAAAGCGTCGCTTCTTTAAGGCTTTAAAAAAGTTAGAATTGAGTAATTCTAAGCTCATTGGACTCGATTTGCCAAGATATTCTATTTGACTATAAGCTTGTCATATTTGGAATTCATTTGACCTTCAAATTAACGACACAAAGCTTTAAAAAGTGGGTTAATGTGCCTACGACGTGCAACACATCTGTGGGGTGTTGGAGGGTCACAAGGTTGTCGAGTCGGAGTGGGTTGGCAGGTCGTGTGGACATGGAGTTTACACTGGCAGAGCGTCGGACCACTGTTGGAGTTTAGGTGGCAATCCACAGATGTGGGATCAGACGAAGCTATATGTTGCTTCATGTTTTGCAGAGTTTGTGATCCAACTATGGGGGTCCCACTTGGTGCTGCCTTAGATGAAGGGCTCACATGTTTGAGCAATTTTTGTCGCGGTCACACCACTTTTTGCATGAAATTATGTGGGTTGCATGTTTTCATGAGGACCACTTGCTTCTGCCATCCAATTGCTCGAAATCAGATGAATCACATAAGCTGTTGTGTGTTTGTAAGGATTACTTTATCGGACTACCCAAAAAAATTCTTGCAATCGAAAGATATTTTACGAACATGTATCTTAATGATTTTGAAATCTAGTCTTCTTAGGCTTTTTGGACACATCTTGTCAAGACTCTTGATTTGATTAGAAACTTGTCAAATTTGGAATCCTTTTACCTTTCAATTAACTACACAAAGCTTCCCAAACTTGTTTAATGACTTGATTTTACTCGGATTGGGCCAAATATGGTGTCATTGGGTATGTCTCATTAGGTTGGTCAATTTGACTGTAAATTTGCTGAAATTGAAGTCCTGGATAATTTTTAATTTAAGTTAGAATATTTCTTACTTAAAAATACTTTGAAATTCATGCTAATTATCTCTAGATTTCTGTTAAATAATAAAATTTGTTGACCCCATTTGAGATGCTATACATTCTTGTCACATAATTTTTTTGTATTTACATATTAATACATATATTTTAATGTTTATCTCAATCATTTTAAAATATATTTATAAATATGTTTCTTTCAACTAAAAAAATAATATTACTCATTTTTTTTCTGAAATAATTAAAATATTTAAGTGATTTGTATATTGTTCTTAAATTTATTTCAATTATAAAAACACATAAGAATTATGATACGTCTAAATATTCACGTAAAATAAAATATTTAATAATATTATTAATTATACGTCTTAATTTTCCCAATTTTATATTTTATATTTTTTTATATTTTGATGAAATGAGCATTTATAAAAAAAACATATTAGATGCACAACTTTTTTTTTTTTTAATCCAATTTCATCTAGATCTCTTTGGTTTCCGACAATTGAAAGGAACTTCTTTTCCAATTTATACTTCACTTAAGTCATCTCTAGGAGAAAATATCTCGTCCGGACAACCAGTCACTGGCAGTCATGTCTTCATACACATCATTGACCGGTGATGCGGCGGCCAATGGTTGTCCGTTTGGACAGAATAACTTTTCCATATCTAGAGTAACTTCCCTACGACTTTCGATCATTTTGTTCTCTGCAATCCTTCCAAGTTTCTTCATCAATCGCGGAAGTGATGGCTTCAGATGAAGGGAAGAAGATGACATTGAAGAGCTAGGACGGTGAAGAGTTCTTGGTAGAAGAAGTTGTGGCGATAGAATCTTAGTCGATCTGCCACATTATTGAGAATGGATGTGCAGATAACTAGATCCCGCTCTTTCAAGTGAAAGGTTAGAATCTTTTCATTGTTATTGAGTACTACAGGAAACACATCAAGTTAGCTACGAGTAGTCTGTGGTCGGCGCCAACAACCAGAGGACTTCAGAAGAAGATCTTCATTTTATGAAGCTAAATCAAACCACACCGGTCAATCTTATTATGGTATGTGCATCTTGTCTTTTTTATTTTATTTTGTTTTCCCTAATCATTGATGATTTTTTCACATAATAAAAGTGATGAGTAGGTGAAAAACACATAAATTAAAAAGATCATAGGGCTTAACTCAATTGAAATAATAATTATGAATTAATGATTAGATATTTACTATATCACATCAATAACACTTCATCAATATTCTTCGCCTTTAAAAATTCAAAATATTATTATTTTTAATAAAAAGTGAAATAAATCCATAAAAATATAGGTTTGAAATTTAAAATTGTCTTCCATGTAAATATTAAAATTTAAATGTGCGTTTAGTAAATACCCAATAATTATGGGCGAAGCATGTAATTTTTTTCTGAGAAAAATAATATTATTCATCATAAATTCGGCCCCAGCCGATCTTCCTCTCTCTTTGGGAAAAATTATTGTGTGAGTTCATCGCACTTAAAAATGTCTGCGGTGAATTAATAAAAATATTCTCTTTATCAAAACTATACATGCCAGTGGGCTCTAATTTAAAATTTTGTTCCTCCTTACTTGTACTTCGAGCTCTTATTCGGGGAAAAAATTTACGTATGATGCGTACGATTTCGATGTTATACGGAGGGTATAAAGGGGTTGCACCCGTGATATAACCCCTTGTAACCTCAATGTAACCTAGTGTAACATACTTGTAATCTACAAATAAGTTATGCGTTTCTGTTATCATATATTAAGAATTTATTAGTAGGTTACAAGTAAGTTACGAAAGATTATATGAAAGTTATAAGGGATTATACCGTGAATATAATCTCTTATACTCTCGGTATAACCTCAAAATCGTACGCAAATTTTTTCTCTTATTCCGTGCCGACACAATTAAGATTTTTTTTTTTAAATAGAAAAAAATTTAAATTGGGCCACCGACATACTCGTACTTTTGATGATAGGAAGTGTTTTGATTGGTACACTCGTTTCTGCGTATGTAATTAGTGAAGAGATTTCCTTCGATCATCCTATTTTTTCTCTTCAATCTTTTGAAGTTTTTTGATCGATGGCGGTGGTCATGGCTGGGAAGAAGGTCACATTGATAAGCTCGGATGGTGAAGCGTTCTTGGTTGAAGAAGCTGTGGTGATGGAATCTCAGACAATCCGTCACGTGATTGAGGATGTACCCGAAGATAACGTGATCCCGCTCCCTAAAGTGAACAGTGAGATCCTTTCCAAGGTTATTGAGTATTGCAAGAAACACGTCGACTCGGCTGCGGAAGAAGATCTCAAGGGCTGGGACTCCAATTTTGTGAAGGTTGATCAGGCTACGCTTTTCGGTCTTATTCTGGTATGCATGTTTTGCCTTTGTTTTAATTTTTATTTCGCTTGCCCTAATTCTTGGATGACCTTTTTGTGTTAGTGATAAATGATTGCGATCGGCGATTGTTTGTATGGTTGATTTGTTTTTTTTTTTTTTTTTTTTAGGGTTTTATATATTTGATATACATCTACTCTTGAAGGATTTAGGAAAGAAAACGGGGATTCGTTTTTTTCTGGTTTTTTGGGTGTTAATATTCTCATAGATTGGGCTATGAATGCTTGTTAGGTTTTCCTGTTTAAAGGCTATATGAAATTTGATTTGTTTAATAACATATAGTTTATGGTTATTTTTTGTAATTTTTTCTATATCATTGGGCATCAAGTGGATTAGGATTTTTTATTAAAGCCTTAATCAGTGTGGATTAAGATGATGTGGCTGCATGGTCAAAGATTTTCATATTTCTGATGTCATAATCAATGTTGTAGGCCTTATCCGAGGGTTGTCTTAAATGAATCTGAATCTTCTTTAATTATTTTATTCTACACAAATTGTTGATTTTATTATGTAAAACTTTTTGGATAATTTCTAGCCAGGATACTTTTGTTGTCTTGTGTATCCTTCATATCAACTTTATCAACTTGATTAGTTGGACATTTTCTACTTTTTGTTGTGCATACCGCATGCCCGGGATTTATCAACTCTGTATTTAATAGATCTTATAAATTTGAATCTAGAATATCCTAATGGTTGTCACAATTTAAAAGTTTTTTTGGATCATTTAAAAGTTTTTTTGGATCCTCTAATATGTTTAATCCAAGTTAAATTCTAAAAGTAGTCTGTTTGCAAGTAAGAGAGTACTAGTTAATTTAAAGGTTGTAGATTAGATTTGTGATGTGATTTGATTCGCCCAAGAAATCATAATAGTAACATAGTTTTAGACTGGTAGTATTTAGTTAATTGAATCAATTGGGAAATTAGCACTAAGGCAAGTCTTGGATATTTCTCTTGCATGATAGTTCTTTAATTGGAGATATTTCTATTAAAGGATTGGAGAAGAATCAAACTTACCACTTTTATAAGGTTGGACTATATGCATTGGTTGTTATCAAGGTGAGATTGAGCAAATCTTAGTGGTGAAAAAAATCCACAATCACGGTGTAATATGCACCAAAATAGAGACCCATTTCGTATGTGCAGTGATCCAAAATGCACTTGACTTGAAATGTATTTGCATGGTATGTTTGAGTCTCTTTTGAATCTTATTTACTGCAAGTTTTTCCATTATGATCAGTGTAAATCTATGAACTTTAGTATGTCCATGCATATGATCGTCTAATTTCATGCACAATTAGGTTGAAAGCCTTTGGTATGATATAGTTAATTATGGTATAATAGGATTGATCATGCTACGCAGAGTTGCACTTTTTAGAGTGTCATTTGATGTTTGTGAATGATTTTCACCGGTTTGCTCCTAATTTAACGCTGTATCATATACTTCTTTTTCATATTTTCAGGAATATTATATCGAGAAATGCATTTTGTATGTGTTGGCTTATTATATCAATATTCTTTTGTTTATTTAATCTATTAATTTGCATGCTAAATGTGTGATGAATGTTCTTACATATTATATTATGCCCACTGTTCATTATATTAGCGCTATTGTTCTTTTTACACCTTTTGGTTCATATTATGTATTTTTTCATCAAATTTTACTCAACTTATGGAAGCAATGGCAATGTTAACTATATTGGATGAGTATTATAACATGTATGCATGTACTAGATGTTGGCCCAGTCTATATTTCTCTGCTTAGAGGACGTGCTAATAAATTTTAAATATTTAGGGGCTGTTGATGTTCCTATGGGAGGTACAAGATTGGGTTGCTCCTTATTTGCTAGTGGGCTTGAGGTTATAACATGTATGCATGTACTAGAATGTTACTTCTTATTTTGGCCCAGTTGATGAGTATTATAACATGTATGCATGTACTAGATGTTGGCCCAGTCTATATTTCTCTGCTTAGAGGTTGTTGATGATCCTGTGGGAGGTACAAGCTTGGGTTGCTCCTTATATTAGCTAGCGGTCTTGAGGTCACCTTGATATATTTTTTCTCATCTGAGATATTTCTGCAAAATAGTTGGACACTTTAATACATTATGTTGGAACTTTGATTATGCGTATGGTCATCTAGTCATGAAAACATATTAACTGCATGAATATTAAATGATTGGGTAATCATTTCTGCCATTCTACTTTTTTTATCATTATATGTATGTATGTATTGTTTTTCTAACTATATTTTATGATATGCACATAATCTATTTTGTTTATTTTATATTACCATACTTGGGATATTTATGGACACTTTAATACATTATGCCTCGTCGCACGTCGCTGTTTCCGTCGCTGCCTTCTTCGTCCTCGTCGCACGTCGATGTTCCCTCTACTCAGCGATAGTGCGCACGCAGTGAAGCACCGGCCAAGGTGATGGCCTCAGGGGTTCTTTCCTACGCCGGTGACAACCCTGCCCCCGCCCCTCTTACGAATATATTTCTGCAAAGTTACCACGATACTTTTGCTCTTGACGTTGAAACCGGATTTCTCAAAAAAACATCCAGTAAAAATGACAAACCTACAATCTTTTTCACAGAGACCGAGATTTCCACCCTAGCTGCGCCCTGCCGACTATTCTTAGTAGTTAAGTTTCTTTATGGAAAACCTAAACTTGAGCTAATTTGAAAGGATTTTGAGCAAATGAAGCTGAAAGGGGGTTGGAAGGTTGGTAAATTAGATGATCGGCATATTCTCATTCAATTATCAAATGATGCATACTACGCTCATTTGTTTGCGAGAAGACTCCTTCGAATAGACAACCAGGTTTTGAAAGTTTTAAAATGGACGGTGGATTTTGACTCTCGTACTGAACTTCCTACCATCCCTGTTTGGCTGCGCTTCCCAGGTTTGAAGGTCCACCTTTACGATCAAGAGCTCCTCTTCGCTTTAGCGATGGTATACGGTAAACCTCTCAAAATTGATATGCCTACAGTGAATCTGACTCGACCTTCTGAAGCCAGAATTTTGGTAGAACGGGATATTACTTTACCTTTTCCGGGAGAGTTATGGATTGACACATAGCATCAGAGATTTTGACAGCAAGCAGAACTTGAACAGGTACCTCTTTATTGCACCCACTGTCGGATTTTTGGACACTTTCTTTCTCAATGTTATCATTTGCATCCAAATTTAAAACATCCGAGTAAAAATGCTACTGGATCTACCCCACTTCATACCTGTCATTCTTCCGCCCCCGAGTGCATTCCACAGACTTTTGAAACACCGGTTGACACGATGTCTCCTCTCCCTCCCACTACCGGAGACAATACTGTTTCTGTTCTTCTGACTGATGTATTAACAGATGGTTCCCTTGGGCATCCTATAGTCTCTATCACTGTTAAAAACAATACTGCAAGATCCTTACCTCCAAAGGATATTTTTCGATCCGATAATCAGGATAGTATCACAACTCAACAACCTCAGGAAGCATCAGTTGCTGAGGAGACAGGTTTATCATCTCTTCAGAATGAGAATGTTGTTACTGTTAATCAGGAGCTAGGGGCTCATCCTCTTCTACATGACCGACAATCTGTTGACTACACTGATCAGATGAGCCAGTTTTCGGATGAGGAATGACTGGTATACACATCTAGGAAGAAAAAGAAGAATGGAGGCACACCCCAACTTGGGAACTTAATGGATGATACTTTAGTAACTTCAGGTAATGACACGACACTCAACAATTTGTTAGCTGACTCTGTTCCTAGAACCAGAGGCAGAGGCGGGACCAAGCTGGCTCGTCCCTAGCATCTGGTTTTCTGCGAGTTATGAATTTTAGAGTTTTATCTATGTCTTATCTTTTTTAGGATGTTAGTGTCTGTGTGTCGTATGGGTAGGGTGCCTTTATTGGGTCCTCTCATACAACCTTTATTGACCTTTTTCAATTTTAATAAAATTAGCCCTTGGGCGTTTCATAAAAAAAAATGGAACTTTGATTATGTGTATGATCATCTAGTCATGAAAACATATTACCTGCATGAATATTAAATGGTTGGGTAATCATTTCTGCCATTCTACTTTTTGTGTTTTTCATTATATGCATGTAAGTATTGTTTTTCTTACTATATTTTATGATATATGCACATAATCTATTTTGTTAATTTTATATTACCATACTTGGAATATTTATATGTTTGTTTGTATCCACGGATATCTTATAAATGTTGTTGATTTAATTTTTCTATGCTTACATACCTTATGTCATGTACTCTACTGAAAGAACTATTCCCTGTGGATGATGCATTCTGTTTTGAGCTAGACGTAGTCTAAGGGTACCTACATTTTTTGTATTTGCATATGACAATGTGCATCTATTTTGGAATTTAAGTTGCAGCTCCTCATGTTCAACTATATGATGACTTCTTTGGTGTGATTAATTCGTACTAATGATTGAAACATAACCGAATTTTTGACTCTCAATATGCTATAAATTTTATAACCGGAATCTGATCTAAATCTGATCTATTGTTTTGACACAACTTTTTGTATTTAGCTATTGAAACATCTTCTGACCTCAATTCTATAACTATAACTACATCAAAGTAATTGTGCACAATCTTGCTTTCTTACGGTTTTGTTAATTTGGTTCAATTTTTTAATACAACTTTTCGTGAATTTAACTTCATGCTGAATTCCAGCCCCAATTTTATAACTATACGTACATCAGACTAATCGTGCACTATTTCATTTACCTTATGCAATTTTGCTAAGTTCATTAGAATGTTAGTTATCTTTTGTTATGTGATGGAAATAAATTGGCTTACATGACTATCGGTATATATATTGATTCTCGTCTTGTGTTGCATTCTTTCATATGTTTCTTGTGATCTAAATGGGTTTTTGCCCATTCTATTGTATTTGCTTATGCTTGTTTAGGGAAGGGATTAGGATATTTTGATAGGTGATCAGTCTCATTGAGCAAGTATCTATAATTTGTATCACACGGATATTTAGATAGGTGATCAGTCTCACTGAGCAAGTATCTATAATTTGCATCACATCGATATGTGTCTATGCAGTGTCTTTGTATATGTTACGGATGACGTAAATATGGGATTCTGCTTGTGGACTTTGTTTTATGATAGGTTGTTATTTAGAAGGATATGGATAACTTCGCCAAGTAGCATTGTTTTGATGATTTATATCAATTCTTTTGTATTGTAGACATTCATGTGAATGATATCCTTTGCTATTACATATCTTTATATTGTTGTTAATTTATTGGATCAATGTTGTGCTAAGTCGAGACTTCGTGAAATGGGTAAATCCATTTTCCTTTTTGATCCTGGGTTTTTGAGTGTGACTAATCAATACAGACAATGAAAGTTGTTATATTGAGGATCGTAATTTCTTCTTCATGCTTCATTGCTTTTGTTATGACATTTTTGCTCTCTTACGGTTCTTAATTTATGTGATGTTTATAGGCAGCCCACTATCTGAACATCGAAAACCTGTTTGATTTGACCTGCCAAGCTGCGGCAGATATGATTAAGGGGAAAACTCCTGAAGAGATTCGCAAGTGCTTTAACATCAAGGAAGTCATCACCCCGGAGGATGTGGAGGAGATTCGGAGGGAGAACGAGTGGGCATTTGACTGAATTGGTGCTACTCTCTCTCTCTCTCTATCCCTTTCTCTCGCTATTTAGGACGAGTCTTGTGTCTTCTTAATACTTGGAACGTGTGGTGGTCGTTTTTTCTCTGTTGCAAGTTGGGTAAGAATGATGAAACAGCAGAAGCTCTGTCTATTGAATTTGTATCACAAGTATCTATACTTGTTGTGTGCATAGTATCGATTCTATTGTTGATGTGCCCTGTTTCTGCTGCTAGTTACTAACTAGTTATTGTAGCTCAATTGCTATTGGGTTGTTCCTGAGAAGTAGTTAAGAGTAGCCATCTAACAAGAAATTTGTGTTAAAAATATGCGACGCCTGTTGATTTTGAAGAGAAGATAGGCCGGGATAAGAATCTGGTTATCTTAGATTAGTTTTGAGAGTTTTGAGATAAATGTAATATACATTTGAGATAAATGTAATATACAAATAATTAATCAGTTTTTATATTACATTTATTTAAAAGGTAATTTTAGTAGTTTAAAAATTGAATGATTCTAAAATTCATCCTGCTGTGATTGCTGTTTTGAGATTCTGCTGCGCAGCTGGTGGTGACCAACCATGGAAGCTCCTTGCATCTCATTTTTGTGATATTAAGAAAACATGATAAGTATCTTTTCTTGGGTCCAATATTGGCATAAGTTTTGAATACAAAAACTCCATTAAGAATATTTTACAAATTTTATCATATTTTGCCCTTATATATACTCCTCAAATGGGGTAAGTTAGGGGTGTCCGTTATACCTCTCCTTGTTACTAACCATTAATAGGGATGTTCTATCCTGCACTTCTGAGGATGAGTTGTTTGCAGGGTTATTTCACCGTATTACAAACTTTTAATGGTAAGTTCGATCAAATTTATATTTTAACTTTTGAGAGTTATATTTTAGCCCCATTCAATCCTTTAACTTGTTAAGATGATAGAAAAAGGATTACATTGCATTAAGATTAGTATTAGACATGAGTAAAAGATCATATGCAAGTTATGTAATAAAGACATAATCAATTGTAGTAGGGTGAAACTACCTTGCGAACAACTCATCCTCAAAGTGCAGGATAGAACATCCCTGTTAATCGTAAGTTGGTAACAAGAAGCTTGTATTACATAATTTGGCATAGTCTCTTAATAGTATTTGGATTTTAGATCGTAACTTTTATTGAATAAAATTGATAACTGTTTTATCTTGATAGAATTAAGAAATTTTTGCCATTTGAATGTATGTTTTAACGATTATATCCTCTACAAAAGGCTCTCTCCTATTGTATATGCTCTATCTTATTTCTATGGGTTTGTTTGGGATCAATTTTATTTTTTGTTTTATTTTTAATTTTATTATTTCTTTTATTTTTTAAAACATATTTTTTAATACGTTTTTAACATGTCTTTTATTTTTTGTTTTTAAAAGTAAAAAAATATGTTTTGGAAAACATTCGAAATTACTTTTGTGTGTTTTGAATATTTTCAAAAATAATTATATCATAATTAAACATATTAAATATTTTTTTTAAATCAAGACATAAAAAATAATATAAAAAAAATAAAAAATAGAAATGAATGTGATCCTAAACGTTTCATCTAAAAGATCAATTCATTGACATCAAAATTTTTGTATGATGCGCCTCCAAAAATATCCACATTACATCTCATCATAAAACCAACCTTTATAGGGATAAAGAGGACATTATTTTCCTCTATATTCATCCAGAACAAAACTCACATGATGAAAGCTATTTTGTCTTACCTCTGCAGTCTTAAAACGACTACAATATTTTATCAATTGTTGCTCCCTCCCTTATGATTTTATTTGGGATTTCTCTAGCATGAGAATGTCAGATTTTTAGAAGGAATTGAAGGTGTCAGCTTCTAGCATGAAAAGTAATACAGTTATAGAGCTGCTTCTAGAAATAATTTCTTTTGTGACTTGTGGTTGACAAATAGATCTCTATGACAATGGATGGGAATCACTTACCATGACTTCTCTCACAAATTGCTTCTTTTAAGATAATTAACAATTTTATTTGGAAAATTGGACTCCCTTAATCTCAACCACTCCTAGTATGGACTGTTACAATAGTTTACCATTTTTCTCTTTAAACAATAAAATGGCCAAAATCCTTTGAGAGAATGAAGGAGAATTTTGACACTTTCAAAGCTAAAAAGCTTCTCTTTTTGAACATCATAATTATGGATTGGATTTATTATATTTGGTTTAAAGGAAACGCTCTTAATTTTGCACTTTTATTTTTTCTTAATTGCCCATATTGTGGTTTTAAAGTTTCTTAATAAGCTTGAAGCATTCGAGTAGTGGAAATATTATTCTATGTAAACTTTGTAACTCTAAGTGGAAAAGTTGCTTCCTCATTTTCTTCAAAGGTCAGTATTCAGTATCTCTCATAGGAGACTTCCTTTTTAAGGAGTATTTCTAGCTCCCTAAGCTTGCACGGGTGCTCCATGTTCAATTTGAAACTCATATTATTGCCAAGGTGCCCTACTAACTTGTTGCTTCTGTGTTAGTTTCTTATATTTAATCGGAGAAAAAGTACAAAATTTTAAATAATATTAATATTAGGGTGGTTAGTATGCAAAACAAAATTAAACTCCTTATGACCCATAAATTGAGGGGATGTAAATTCAAGAAAACTTGGTTGACTAAAGTTAAATGCTTGATTTTGGCTTTGGCTTGATTGTTTATAATATACTTGTTATGCCCCCATTAATTTTTTGACGATCTCTTCAATGCTTTGTGATGTGGATTTCTTGTCTCAAACATTATAATAAATTTATATGGGTTTTGTTTGAAATTTTTGTGACTTTTGGCAAATTTTTTGTAATTTATGAATTTTTTTTTGCTTACTTTTTAATGTTTTTGCGATGATGAACATATTGATATATTGAGAAAATTGAGGGTCACACTCAACTTTATTCAACAAAAATAAAGTACAAAGACCAATAAAGCTTACAACAACACCACACAACTAACTAAAACAAATGAGGAAAACCAAACATGAAACAAAGAATATAAACTCAACACTTCAACTCAAAATAGACAACAAGAACAACCAAAAAACCAGAAATACAATCTAGAAGCAAGTGGTTCTAGCTGAATTAATTGCATAATGTCCTCATAAATGCACCAAAGTCAACTTCTCCAAATAGTTGTTTACACTTTCATTTGAAAAACAAAAGAAGAAATATTCAACACAAAACATGACAAAAGAAAGAGCCAACGAATCCAAACCACAATTATATCCAAAATGAAGGAGTCAAGAAAATGAGGTTAGAATAATTTACCTGTAAAACTTATTAAAATTTCATTTATGTAATGTGAATATCAAAGATTTTCAAAGGTACGATTAAACTTTAATAAATTGTTGGAATTCATCATGGCTCCACCCTACTCGGGCTTTTAAGAAAAAAATCAAATATACATCTGTTCTGATCACTAAGATGTTTAAGAATAAACTCAAAGATATATATTTTATGATCAACCAAAAAGATAGAGACTATGAAATAAAATAAATATATAAATGAAGAGCAACCAGTCGAAAAAGAAAAACAAAAAGAAGCTAATGACCAAGAGAAGAAACAGAACAAGAGGTTAAGGGTCTGCTTGGGGCAACTACAGCTTATCCAGTTTGTCTAGTAAGTTGCTTATCCTGATAATTTGTTGATAAGCAGTTGATTCGGATAAGTTGTCTGACTGTTTGGTTTCTGCGTTTGGAAAACAGTTGATTTTGGATAAATGACAATTCTGCCATGTTTTGAATAAGTTGTTTAGTTGTTTGGTTTGTGCGTTTGGAAAACAACTGATTTGTAGCTTTTTGTAAATAAAAAACCATTCAGACAGACGCAGCTTTGCAGTATATACTAGAACTTTAATGGTTACACATCTGACAGTTGAGAACCAAAAAATATCATTTCGTAACAATACAAAATTATGATAGTTGGTTGACATGGAACATTAGAAGAACGTTGAGCAATGACCATTAGCATGCATTGGATAATGGTTGCATGGAACATTAGAAGTAAAGAATGATGAACGGTTAGCTTGATTGTTCTCCAAATAAATGAGAACATGAAATCAAAGAGATCAAAGTTGAACTTCAATGGTTGGCAGGAATTGATCATTAGCAAACATCAAGCAATAGTAAGCTAGGAACATAAGAAGTCAAGCAACGAGGGATAACCAGTTTGGTTGCTTTGTTGATAGCACGAGAGCCTCAAAAACCAGAAATAAAAACATCTAACACAGACTCAAACCCAAATGTTCTTTGTATGATCGGTGTTTTTTGTATGGTCAGTTTATTTCATCAAAACACGTTGTCTAGACAATAAAATTTGTTGAAAATAGATCTCAAAATCCATTCTTTTTAAGTTCTTGATCCAAATACTTGGTGTTTTATAAAGAATTTATGTTAAATATGTGCTTAATCAAATTAATAGCCATTGCTGCAAATCACTTCTCATTGGCTTCAATAGTGGCAAATTCCAATGAATTACAAGCCAAATACTTAGAACATGAAATCAAAGTGATTAAATTCCAATGAATTACAAACCAAACAAAAACTACTGACACAATATTTCATACAATGCATGGCAGTTTAATTTGTGAAATACTAAAGTTTTTTCCATCAAGTACTATAACTCCATTAAACCAAAAATGCAACTCCTAATCTGAACTGTTTAGAATTTCTCATCAAAATAAAGTCGCTGATTTCCAGGACTTAAATCCTCTCGATTTAACATGGAGACGATCCCATTATTTCAGACCACTCAGGCTTTACGTTAATACACGCATCCAAAGCAAATTGGATGTGTAGGATGGAATGCTGCACAGTCATCGTGGTAACTGTATAAGATCAAAACCCATTAATTCCCACACAAAAATCCCACCAATATACTTTGCTCATCTAGTCCAGAGCATAAATAATAATAGGACTCGCCAATACAAAATCCAAACCACCCCCATTCACGCCCGATTGAATCAAGAGATTGCAAGCGATGACAACAATGAAGTAAATCAAAGCCATCATATTTCCCAAAAAAAAAAAAAAAAAAAAAACTCAAACCTAGAAGTACAACAATTTGAAACGTTCCAAGCACAATTCCAAAAAAGTAAATCCTACCCGCTCCTAACATCCATGATCCAACTGTCTCTAGAAAAAAATAATAATAAAAAAAATTCAAAACCCCATTAAAATCTCTAAAATCCGACACACGTTGCTCGATTCCTAACAAAAGCGGGGCAGTTAATCCAACGAATCAAAGAAAATTAAATACCGATGCCACAAACAAACACTCCAGACTTCAATTCAAGTAGTCAATCAAAGCTAAAAAAAATAAAAAAGAAATATATCTAAAGCACACAAAAATCTTAAAAATTAAGGCAATGCAAAGTTACCAGATCAAGTCTGAGATAATCGTATCCCTCTGGTGAGGGAGGGATGTTTTCATCAGGGATGAAGCCAAAGCCGGCAGGGAAGGCGGAGGAGGTGATCCCATCGCCTGAGATTTGAATTGGGTCCTTGTCGTACTCCTCCGCAGCGAAGGTCGAGTAAGAACCGTAGCTCTGGGAGGAGATGTGAGGATCGAACCCCAGATAGCTATCGTCACCTATCAATCTCATCGGCGTCGAAAGAGGATGACATCTCTCTAATTCATTCCGCTTCCCTGATCGACGTCGAGCTTTTTAGCGAACGGGAAAGGGCAGGGGCGAAAGATCTTTCGCCCAAATCAAACGCGGATCGCAGGTCCTCCCCCGCGAAACGTCGTTTTTCCATAAGCTGGAGGAACGCTTTATCCAAAAGGGGGTGGCATTTTTAAAAACACCACCTTTGTAAATAAGAGTCCGTTTGGGACAGCTTATAAGTGTGGGTGGCGTTCCGTTTGGTTCGTATTTTTTGTCAAATAGTGTTTAAGTTTTTACACTAAACGCAGGCCGCGGGTCGACCGCGCGCCCCCGGCGGCTGGCCCGCGGGCCGCGTTTCAGAATAAACAGCTTATCTTGAAACACACAAACTGCCCCAAACGGACTCTAAGCTGCCCCAAACGAGCCCTAAGAATTAAGAATAGAATATGTAATGAAATAATCAACCCAAGATAAGAAACTAAAAACAACTACCAAGAGAAGTAGCTAAAGACTCCATTAAAAATATTGTATATATAAAGATATATACAAGAAAAACAAAAAAACTAAGCACAAAGAGAAATAACTAGGAGAAAAACAACCAACAAAAAGAAGAAATTGGAGTAAAGCTAACAAGCAAAGGAACAATAGAAGACTTCCACCAAAAAGTATGTATTAAGATTACAAAAGCAGAATATATATAAAAAAATTGAACTAAAGAGAAAAAAAAAATTTTAAAATAGGAAAAAAAAATGAATTAAAGCTTATAAAGAATTTTGATGGAGGGAATTTCTTTTCTGAATTTTTACCTTCTACTATTCCGCTTAATTATCCAATGAATGTTTTGAATCAACATTTCAATATGACTGGAATTATTTCTAAAAATTTCTGCAATTTGAGTAATAAATAACTTGATAAATATTACTAGGGACTACAAAAAATATCACATAGAAGACAACCTTTTAAAAGAGAATGTGGATAAGGACATTAAAAAATTAAATGATTATGAAATTCTGAAACAGTTAAAAAGAGCTTGCAATACATATCAACAACAATACCTCCATAAGATGAAATATTAGAGGTTTGGATCCCATTAGGCGTGATCTTTCACATATGAAAGTCAAATTTAAAAGCATAGCCCTTATACCAAATCAATTTATACATATCTTTCTGAGAAATATGCTCATGAAGAAAATAAAAATTATATTTATGAGAATAACAATTTGAACCATTCCAAAAGCAGGTGTTACCATTTTCGTGGGAATACCACGAATGGAGCTAATGCATTGAGATGAAGCCATTGAATTAGCAGATATGATCTGATTGTCATTAAAGATGACATCACAAAGCTTGGTGTACTTGGGACAATTGAACTAAGTTCATGGATCACAATAAAAAAAAATAATTGACTGTAAGTATGTCACATAAGAATTAAGACAATATCTAATCTTGTAAACACTCTAATTAAGTCTTTCCAGAACATAGTAATAGAATAACAAGAAATAAGCCAAATGGAGAGAGAATTTTTAGAGCCCTACTTAGCAAAAAAAAAAAAAAAATCAGAATTATAAAATTTCCAAATAATTGTATCTAATGAAGGAAGACTGATCCCAGCATTATGCTTAGGTAAATTGAAAGTATTTTCAAGCAATAATATTCATCTTGTTACCTTTTTCCATTATAATTCAAAAAATTACTAATTTAAGAAGATGTGTTTTTCTAGGACCTTTCAGCAAAGTAGTAGAACAAAATGAATAATAGAGGTAGCTCCAAATGGTATATTTTATGAGTTTTAAGTCTACCGACACGGAAAATAGATCTATGTTTTCAATAAGCTAACAAGATTTGAATTTTATCGAGAAACTTATTACAATCTATGACATTAATTTTAAAAGGCTTGATAATAAAACTTAATGATTCCACGACAGAGGTGTATATAAATATTATTTTAAACATCGGCACACACACAGACTTAGAAAAATAAATAACTGACATTAAACATTAACATAGATTAGAAGTCTTGCTGAAGCTATGAAAAATATTAAACAAACAACTAATAAGAAAAATGCCAGGTTTACCAAAATTGAGAATAACATTAACATAAACTAAATGAGAAACCCGTCCTCTCACTTTCAAGAGTCACATTAGAACCATTAATAATGTGATTATTATCTTTTAAAAGTGAAGATAAAATATCCATAATAATGAGAAAAAAGATAAGAAGCAGACAAACATCATTGCCTTAAACCATATGTGAAAGGATAGTAACATTTTTAACTCATTGTTAATAATAATAGAAAAATAAATATCACTCGTGGATGCTCTAATCCAGTTAATGAAATGAAGGGGAAAACCCATACGTTCCATACAATCATAAATAAAACATCTATTAACTTTATCAAAAGCTTCCATTAAATCAATGCTCGAACAAAATAATGTAGGGTCTTTACTCAAATTAAAACCAAATAAAAATTCATTAGTTAAAAATAATTTTCTCAACAATGTCACAGTCTTTAATAAAAGTGACTTGAGATTGATGAATTTTACTATGTAAAATTAACTTAAGCTTGTTAGCAAGAACGATAACAATAACCTTATAGATAGTATTACATAAAGAAATATGCCTAAAATCACTGAAATTATTAACATCTGACTTTTAATGAATAACAGCAGTACCAGAGTGCTTAATTATATTAACAGATTTAACTGGTAAAGAAGAAATGATTCACAGCATCAATGCAATCCTTATAAATGATATGACAACTATCTTTAGAAAATTTAAAGGTAAAAAATTAAACCCAAAAGTCTTATCAGCGCCAATAGAATAAAAACTTTGTTAATTTCATCGTCAGAAAAATGATAAAAAGGCTTAGTACTTTCATTAGTAAAAATATGATTAGAAATAGGAAACATACGAATAAAATTTTGAAAATCAAAACCTTTACAATTCAATAAATTTGAATAAAAAAGAAATATCCCTGTTAGCAATATTATTTGATGTACAATATTGCATATTATTCTTTTTTTCTTCAATGAAAGTAGAATTATGTCTTATTTTTGCTTTTTGATAAAAAAAAAAATTAGTGTTATTTTCTCCTTTAAAAAGTCAAGAACCTTTAGTCTATTGTCTAGCCCATTTATAATCACAAAAATTAGTGTTCATAAGCTCATTCTAATTGGAAGAAACTGAAGTAAGAAGTTTTATAATGGTGGGATAATTCTCAATTTGACACATAATGACATGTTTTCTATCTTTTAAATGATTGATAGAACTAGATAAAGAGGTAAAAGAGTACAATTGCCGATTTTCAAAAGACAACTTAACATTCTTAAATTCATTAGCAAGAGCAAAAGGTGATCCCCATTAATAGGAAGACTAAGAAATTTTAACAAAAAAAAATATAGTTAAGACAATTACCCCAATAAGTTTTATACATGAATCGACAATGCAACTTGACAAAATTATCAAGACAAATAGAGATCAGAGAATGATAAAAAAATTATGAAAAATAATCAAATTAAATAGAGTTATATAAAGTTCTTTGAAGTAAAAATCGAATGAGATTAATAAGCTAATTATTAAACCAACTATAAATATAACCAACATTCTGAGTTCAAGCAAAGTAACCTCATGAATGCAATTATAAAAATCAGTTAATCTACTAGGAACCATTCCTTCAGAGATTACTCAGCTGCGGAAACTTCAATACCTATCATTAGCCCACAATAATCTCACTGGACTGCTGCCTTCGGACCTTGGGAGAAGCACTGAGAGTGGTTTGATCAAGCTGGACTTGACAGGAAACGATTTCTTTGGTCCAATTCCTTCTGGACTCTGCTCGGGTAACAATCTAACTGTTCTCTTAATTGGGCAGAATCGATTCAACGATAGCTTTCCTGTTCAAATCGCACGTTGTTCATCTCTTAGGAGGGTGATACTGAGTAAAAATCATCTTCAAGGAATAATACCAGGAAGTTTGAGTTTGAATTCAGGAATATCATACCTTGATCTCAGTAACAACCTTTTGGAAGGGCAAATACCACAAGGTCTCGCCCTTTGTCACAATCTCACAATGCTAGATATTTCAATCAATTATTTTTCAGGTTCTATACCTGATTTTTCTAAGCTCTCAAATTTACGGACGCTACAATTGTCTTCTAATAGGTTGACGGGCACAATACCTCCCCAACTGGCTAACTGCGTACAACTTCTTAAGTTTAACATCCGCCATAATCTTGCTTCAGGAAGTATTCCACTTCAGTTTGTGAGACTGGAAAAGTTGATGTTTTTTATTCTCTCTGGGAACAGGCTGACAGGTCATATTCCTGATGTGTTTACATCAAGCCAAGATCTTTTAGAGTTTCAACTTGGTAAAAACTTGCTTGAAGGATCAATTCCTTATTCTTTAGGAAATCTTCAGTATATCACTGTAGCTTTGAATCTCAGCAACAATAGGCTGACAGGTGAGATTCCCAGCAGTCTCAGTAAGCTTGATAAGCTTGAGATTCTAGATCTTTCAGGAAATTCTCTAACAGATCATATACCTTCTGGGTTGACCAACATTGTGTCTCTTTCTTTTGTTAACGTGTCTTTTAATAAATTATCGGGCATACTTCCTGCCAGTTGGGTTAAATATGCAGCATCATCACCTGAGTTATTTATGGGGAACCCTGCATTGTGCATACAGAGTAATGATGGGAATTACTGCCAGAAAGCAATGAAACACGGGAAACATAACTAATTTTTTGGTTTTGTTCATGGTATTTCTTGGCCTGTTTTTGCTACTAGCTGTAGTTTGTGCTGCCAATTGCTTCAGATTGAGCTAAGATGAACTCACTGATAATTAGGGTTGTCAAAAAAACTTGTCATTCACGAATAGCTTGTATTTGGCTTGCTAAGTAGCTTGTGTTTGATTTATTCGTTAATCGAATAAGCCGAACACGAACAAATTTTTTAAGTTTAATATATAAACAAACTGTTATGGTATGACTCATGTATCATATAGGGACATACGCTGGAACGAAGCGGAAGAATCTGTCCAAATTGGGAAGATACTTTATGTGAGTTGGGGTCATAGGGTACAGGGGTAATTTGAGAATTACATATTGTACTGTGGGGTTTACTCTAGGATCATAAATAAACTTATTTGTAATTCTAGGTCTTTGAGAGAGCTGAATATTGCATTATGTACTATTTTCTGAATATTGAAAAGGATGTCACCGCTCTGCTCCCGATGACGTAGGCATCTTTGGCGAACCTCGTTAAATCTCTGTGTTCTTCTGGATTTGTGTGATTACTGTTTATCTTCGCCCTTATTTTCTCAACAAGTAGTATCAGAGCCAGGTTGCGATCCTGGGACCTGTGGGTTATGGGCCCACCACGCTTCCACTGCGCAGTTCGGCGAATTATCGCGGTAGGGGCGGTGTCGTGACTTCGAGGCACGATAGTTCATGAAACTTCGCGGCATTAGACGAGGTGGAGTTAACGAACATGAGTTCGTGTGCAGTTACCGCGAACATGAGCGTTTGAGAACAAGAGGAGTTTGGTGTTGTTCGACTAACGGAGTTTGGAAGTTCGTCGCAGGAGGAGTTGCGACAGGTGGAGTTCGGTAGGGTGCTGGCGAGCGAGCAGACACGCTTATTCTCGAACAGTGGTTTCGCGAAGGGTTTCGCTCACGAGACGGCAATTTAGCCGAGGTGCTGGCGCGAGTAGGAAAAGTGCTTCAACCCACATTTATGCATAAGAAACTCCATGATATATTTCTTCTAAGGGGTTGGATATTCGCAAGGTGGAGATTTTCTCCTAAGGGACAGGATATTCGCAAGGTGGAGATATTTCTCCTAAGGGGCTGGATATTCGCAAAGTGAAGATTTTCTCCTAAAGGGCAAGATATTCGCAATGTGGAGATTTTTTCTCCTAAGGGATTGAATATTCGCAAGGGGGAGATTTTTTCCTAAAAGATTGGATATTCGCCAAGGTGGAGAATTGTTAGGTATAACTCATAATACCAGAATTTGGAGTCTCTTGGAATGAAGAGATGTCTCTTGGAATTGAAGAGATGTGTCT